TGACGTTTAATTTCTGTGTTCTGGCAACGATATTTTCTTATCAACGGCACTGCACAAAATCAGTGCAGTGCAAAAAATTAATCTTCTGTTGTGTAATGTTTCACAGCTTGATCTTTTAAAGAAATTATCCAAGTTTGTAGCACTTCACAACCAATGTTCGAAAACTAACAAAATTTGCTAGGCTTGTCGAAAAATCGTTCATTTCTAAGAATTTATCAATTTGTAACACCTGCGTTAATTCCGAATACATTCATATAATGAATGTGATTGCTTATGAATTGCTTAAGATTGATGCGGCTAATTTTTGAAATTGTGTGCATAATAAAGAGGAAAAATAAAAGGCCTCCTTAATTCACTCCCAATAAGAGGTAAAAGCACTCGAGAGTACCAAGTCATAGCTCCTAGCCGAGCCATCGGTGGTTCTTTCTTTCAGGGACCGCTTACAACTAGGTTGATGATGGATTTAACACTTCAGCAAACACCAAGCATTCAGTTATCACCGAAATAATTATAAAGGTGTAAAGAGATTGGAAAGAGCAACCGCGGATCCGAAATCTCGAGCATTAGCATGAGAAGAAAAAATGTTATTTTACACAGTGTCATACTTGCTAAAAAATCAAACAGCATCCTAAATGCAACATTGCTCGCATCAACTTTATATATCCAGTGAGATAGTATCAAGGATGACTAAGCATGTAATACCTTTTTTGTTAATTTTTCAACAGTGCTGGGAAAATGTCATGATAGTTTTTTTTCGACAATTTCGAAAAATAAACTTTTTGATAATCATACCCCTAGCAAACAGTGCCTTTTTTTCGTGTACTGATTCATCTTTTTTTTACGAATGTTGCTCGATTTTTAGGCAAAACGCGAACTGCAAAAAACATTTATAAGTCATAAATTCCGGCTTTATTGAGTAATACTGATTCACTCGGTTTGATGCGCTTTTTAACAAAGTTGCGCCCAAAAGACTACTGGAAATACACTTTAGCTATTTTAAATCCTTTTGCTTGGTTTATTACAGCCGTCGGTACTGTTTAAGAACTCTTCGACCTAACTTTTCGGTCGGCTTGATTACACAAAATTACGCGGCGTTAAAGCAGAGTACCAGGCCTATTAAGCATTTTCTTGCGCGGAGAAAGAAAATGGTGGTGTTGCTCACGTGGAGAAATGGTTAGGATGGTGGTATTGCTTAGTTCGTTTGCGTGAACTTCAAAAATCCTGCATAATTACCAATTTTGCATGAGGATTAGTGGTTTTTCTGGTAAGTTGGGCTTTGTGAAAAAGCAAATTTAAAAATGCACAGGATGTCGGAGCAGAAGAATTACGAAATCCACAAAACACACTCGCTTTTGAGTATGAGGTAAAATCGAGCAATTCTCATGTTTAAGTGCAGGGAATTTAGCTTTCAAGCTGAGTTTAGGTCACACTTGAATACAGAATAACCATGCGAAGTTTCACCCTCATGTCGGTAAAGCAAAACACCGACTTTGCTACAGATATCTTTAGTGTCCTAAGTTGTTGTGCAAGTTCAAATCGAAACTCGTTTTTGGGCATATGACTTTGCAAATGAATGATAAATATTGCGACTAATTTCAGTTACTGTTTTCTGGATATTTTCTGAACTGGCGCAGTAGCATTTGTTAACTTTGACGCGACTGCACCATAATGTAGACTTGTGCGATAACTGAATTTGAAATCCTTAACTCACACTTGGATAGGAGACATCTTTGCAAAATTCCAGTTTTCTAGCTTGTCTGGTTCTTGAAATCATTTTCCCGCCATAAAATTCGCATAAATTTTGGTGTCCACGATGCGGCCCATACGCAGATGAACGATGATTTCACGCTGTAATTATGGAATGCAAGCAGCTTTCCACTTTTTCCGACTGCTAAGTCGAAAATGAGTGACAAAGTTCACTTGCCCACACCCACATGCGTATACGCACCGTTAGCTTCTCGACAGTAGAGTTTCTGCTCACTTAACAGCATGCTGCACAGCAAAACGCATAAGAACCAAATGTGTTTTTTTTTTTTTTTTTTGAAATTTAACACCTTTTGATCGCATCACTGCACTGAAGTTTAAGAAAAAAGAAACTAGAACAAAAAAATGAGTTGTTGTGCCTAGCTCTTAATTTAAGTTCTATTATTTTCAAGATTTTTTCTTCTTGCACCATAAAAACTGAGTTTTTGACTATGAAAAATACGAATTTAAGCAAATAAAATGAGTGGATGACTCGGGCAATTTCACATATTCTCAGTACTAAGTATTCTGGTTTTAAGACTTTATGCGTTTTTTGCGTTGCTGTTCCAGCAAAAAACTGCGTAATGTCGAGATTCAATCTGTGTTGTACTATTTGTCTGCCTGTATATCTTTGCGTTTTTTTTGGATTTTCCTCCACCTTTTCAACTCAGTAACAAGGAGAGTTAGGAAGCTAAAATTTTGACGGAATGCTTCTTGTCTTGTGCAATTTGGTAAACATAAATCCAGCTCTAAAGTAATCCATGCTGTGTACATGCGAAAATCTGAGGAAGATTTGCTATGCCAAAAATCAGACATGACATAAGCCCCAAATTTAGGTTCTTGACGACTTAGAAGACCAAATTCAGCTTCCAGGCACACCTAGGTTTTATCTTTTGCAAAAGTTTCAACAAAAAAATTTTGTAGCTCGCAGACCAAACAAGATGGAAACTTGAAATTTTGGAAAGATGTCTCCTTTCTCTGGCAAGCACCGGCTACCCGGTGCACGCAGTAATTTACTAGGTATTATTCACAAAACTCTGTGTTAAGGGCAAATTGAAATAACGCATTTCCTGCTTTCGCTCTAATTTCCACAACTCACGCCAGTGCTTTCGCTTCTTGATTTCTACTTTGCGCTGTTGCAATGTGAAGCGGAGAAAATGAATTCACAAAACGTCTATTTTTCAAAAAAATGAATCATAGTATTTCCAATAAGTCATCTTGTTTGGAACCAAGGAAGCAAAAGTCGCATCTGTGACATAATCCATTAGGATAATTTCCGACAAGCCAGTTCAAAAATTTACATATCGGTAGCGCTGCTCCACACATATTCACGCAAACTGAAAGAAAGATGTAATGAGATAACAAATGCTGAAAAATTTTTTTCCTTCTATTCTGCTTTAGCATGATTTTGCATTTCTAACATGATCGTTCGGACAACCGGCCTAACAAACTGATCTTAGTAATGTTACTGGGATTTCCCCTCATACCAGAAGCAGCTTAAGTTGAGCTCTTCGAGAAGCCAAAAAAGACAAAAACCTTTCCGCATTCGCATTTCCTTTCGACCAATATAAGCAAGAAACCCAAAATATAAGAAATTACCATAGGAGCAAGCCACATTTCAAGTCTATGAAAAACAATACCGCTATCGAATTCACTCAAGCCTAGTTACGAGAAATGTTCAAATTTTTCTATAAAAAAAACAGATATGGGAGAGGTCTGGGGAGGGATAATCAAAGAAGACAAAATTTTAATCGGCTGTTATAACATTTTTCCAAAGGCAGTAAAAGTCTGCCCACACCAAAGTAGTTGGGTGTAACTATGAGTTCTTGCAGCAATAAAAGTGCTATCAGTAAGATCCATCCCTTCACAATCTGACATATGCAATCACTTTTCAAATGTTGACTTTTCTGTCATGCTCGAGAAGAAGAGTATCATTTAAACCGATGATGCTACGTTTTGCGCCGTTGGGAAATTTTAGCTTTCTAGCACTTTAGATCGGAAGATGCCGACAATTTTGCAAATGGAATTTTGTCAAGTGCTCGTGGGAAACGTCAGTTTTTAAGAAAGCTCATTTACGTTTACTGGTTCGCGCATCAGCTGCAAATGTCCATTTAAATACAGCTTTCTGCTCATTTTGGCCCTACAGTTACGAGGATTAAGCACTTTTCAAATTTGAAATTTGATATGCCCGTAAGTGAGACGTAGACACACTTAAAAACTGACTTCAAGTTTTTGGAGTCGTACCCGAAAAGATAACGAACGCCCTTTTACAAAATTGGTTTTTTTTTACCCACCTGAATTCACGAAAAAGTAAATGCCCGCAGTACTTGCAAAATGGACATTTAACGTGTCCGAACGCGCGGTGCAAGACACGCCAAAGTTCATTTTACATTTGAGGAAACACACCTAATCAGTAAATTTTTCCTTAAAATTATAGCTTTCTACTTACTCCAAATTACGAGGGTGCCAGCGGTGCCAATCTGCAATTTCACTTCTGCGTGTTTTAGACGTCTACGTACCCAAAAGTGAATTTAAGTTCATGAGTGGGTCAAATTCGTGTAGATAAATTCGCAAGAAATTTCCTTAGGGGTATCCTCTCTTACTGGTTCCATGTTAGAAAATCCCCCACCAAAGCCTTGATGCAGATATTGATAAGCTTTCTTTTTTTGACTGCTCCTCGAGCTAGAAAATTTTTCGCTTGAAATTTTGCACGTCCGTGCGTGAAAGCCAAGCATATATGTTGCGTATAACTTTGCAAAGCCGCAATTGGGCAGAAAATATCCTTCTCAAGTTTCAGCATCCTAGCTTTTCTGTTTGCTGATTTGAAAATCACAGACAAAAATCTGAACACATACACACACAAATACACACACACACACACACACACACACACACATCCACACATGCACGCACAGACGAGGATAACATACACGATTCTCGTCGTTCCACCGATTCTTATTTGATAAAATTTTCATAATTCAGTTCTTACTTTCAGGGATTGGCCGTGGATCTGGAGGAGGTTGGACCGTTGCTTCCGACTTGGTGGTCTGATATAATGGTACCGACGTCGTCGGCTCCACTGTCCACAGCTCCGTCGTAGGTTCCGGCTTCACTGTTGTTACCTCCGGTATCGGTTCCTTTGTAGTCGTCTCTGGTACTGGCGGTTCCAGCGTCGTCGGCTCCGGCCTCGTTGGCTTTGGAGGCTCCCGTGTCTCCCGCTCCGTTGCGGGCGGCTCGGTTACCGTCGGCTTGGGTGTCAACGGTTCTGCCGCCGTCGACCCTAGTGACGACAACTCCGGCTGCTCCGATGTGGTTGGCTCAGGTTCCGCTGTGATCGGCTTGGTCCCCAACGGTTCTGATGTAGTTCGCTTCAATGGCGGCAACTCTGATGTGCTCTGCTTCGGTACCTCCTGCTCTCCTGGGGTCGACTTCGATGGTGTTGATGCTTCAGTAGTCGACACTGCTAATGGAGGCGTCAGTGTTTCCGGTCTGGGTGTGGGGTGAGGTGGCATCTTCGATACCTCTGGTGTGGGTCCAGGAGCAGACGGTACTGGTTCCGACGGCGTAGGGCTGGGATCGGGCAATGGCGGGGTCATCGACTGAGTGGTGGAGCGATATGGAACTTGCTCGGTCGGCTTGACTGTGGTGACACAAAGTCCGCAAGTTTCAGGGCAAATGATTTGAGTGAAGAGGTCATCACAATTCGGCCTGGGATGGAGGCTTGTGCAGCTCGAATGTTCATCGGAGCAACCTGAAATACCAGTATATTATTGATCTGGATCACTGAACTGTTGAAGTGGTAGTTAGTTTTGCTGGAAATCAAGTTTATTTATAGTTACACTTATTTTTATGTGCATTTTGCAAAATCAGGTGTTTATTCGATAAAGCCGAGGAGAGTGCAGTTTGTGTGCAAATCTGTGGACAGACAAGAGTATCTGAGTTTAGAGTTACAAAGTGGAACTTATCAACAACCAAGCATCGACTCTCCAAAGTGTTCCATCCTCAGCTGCTTAAATTTGTCTTCTAAAAACAAACACCAACCTCCGATTCGTTCCTCCTGTGCTGCAACAAACAGTAGGCTAGCAACAACAGCCACAACTGCACCAAACATCTTCGAAGCTGAGTTGCGGAAAAATCACGGAAATGAGTCTTCTTTTGTATGTTTCCCAAATATATTAATATTTATGCAAAAAAACAGACAGCAGCAACTGCCTTCTTTGCACATATTGTGTGTGGGTGAGGCAAAAAATGCGGTTGCCGAATGATTTTTTTGAATTTATAGAAATGCTCATAAAAGGTTATACAGCTTTTTCCTGCATCACATATATAAAAAAAACATATGCAAACAAAAGAAATTCTGTGTCTCATCCTGCATTCTTTTACATTTACACAAATTTTTTTCCAGAAATACTTTTGCTGAAATGTTTCATCCATAAAAACCCTGAGGCATTGTTATGTAGGGAAAAATTTAAAATTCCAAAGCTATCGTTTTTATTCCACACTGTACTGATAATAGCAACAAAGGGCAGTGTAGAAAAGAGGTTGAAACAGCACTGCATGGCCGTAACCCAACGGAAACCCCATTTCAAAAGAATTTCCTTGGTTCGCTCGCTGGCACCTGAGCAAAACATTCCGTAGGTCTGAGCGGATCGCCAGTTTGCCGGACGTCTGCTCTGCCCCTTGCTAGTAATAAGCGGACCAAAGAGTTCTTTAGCAAGAATAAAATTGCTCCAGAATATGCGCAAGCTTGGAAATTTACCGATATTTCACGGAAAAATAAGTGACCTGTTAAGTTAGCTCTAAAAGTCTCTTGAAAATATGAAATCTTCTGCTGCTTTTGGGTGAGATGCTCAGTTTAGCTGGAGATGTATTCCCTGAAAGTGACTGGTGGCGTGTCCATGGTTTACAAAAGGGACTGCTACTTCGGCTCGGAGCTCTTCTGCGGTACTCGATCCTACATCAAGCACCAAAAATAACCTAGTTCAATAACATTCTCGAAGGAGCAGTGAATGTGAACTCTTTTCAAAAAGTATTCGATAAATGCTGTAATGGGAATCGTTTCCCAAAAGGAAGGTGGTATGCTAAAAAAAAGGTTTTTTTTTCATTCCTGAAATTTATTCAAGACATTACGTCTGCTCGACTGACTGAGTCAAAATTTAGTGACGAGCATGCGTCCTGCCAATCGATGGACCTCCGTTTACTTTAGAAATTAATGGATTTTTACTGGAGAATGTACTGGTCATCGTAAAAGATTCATGCTCGTCTCGCGGACACTGCAAGTCTGCAACAAGTTCCCCTATATTCAGACTACTTACATCATGTATAGTTCCTAAGCTACTAATAAAGTTGCTCGCATTCTTTTTAGGCGCAAAGCCCTTTCTCGCTTTTTTTAATGCCGTGATCCTCGCAAATACATTTAATTCATTTTCTTTTTATGCGTTTTTGCACGTGTAAAAATTAAAAATGCGTGTTATGGCAACCCATGATGTGTGTTTATACAGTTTAAGACTTAACTGCTTCAAGTTGAATGCAAAAACGCATGGTCATACTTGCAAATCTGGCGCTTTCCCGCCCAGAGTTTAACAAAAAGTCCAACAAAATTCTTCCTGATGGTGCTGTAATGAAAAGAAAGGAGGAGAATGACGCTAATTTTTTCGCCTTTTTCTGGAGGATTACTTGAAGTAGTCCGTGGACATGGCACATTGGGAAGTACGTTGGTGTCATGGTTCGACTATGCCGATACGAAGACCAGTCCCACTGCAGTTCATTCACTGTTTCGATAGTAAACCGGTGCTGGCAAGAATTCGAGCTTTCCACTCTACCGTTCAACTTCAAAAACAACGCCTAATGCCGTTACGGATTATTAAGAACAGGAGTTCAAATCCATTGCTGCAAATGAGACGGATATAGGTTAAGATTCCTGCAGCTCGACACGGAGATAAGCGCTTGTTTCAGGACATTTAGCGCGCTAACGCAAACGATATCGACGATGTTACGCTGGCAGGGCTTATTATTTACTTTTCTCTATGCTTCATTCACTCAAGTCAGGCTTATTAAGCAACTGAGTTAAACAGTACTAAATTAACATAAATGCGTGCCATCATCTGTTATCAGTAATACGCCCTCTCAATCTTTGCTGCGCGTATTTCAGTTACCCTCTCAATCTCTGTTTCTCCTCCAAAAGCGTACTGCAAAGCTGAAAGGGTACCCTCTCAACCTCTGCCACATATCACACTATATTTCTTTCGCATTCTCAATCTCTAACACTCTCTCATCTCTTACACTGCAGTTATGGAAGAGGATTTGAGATTGAGAAGGCGGTAAAATAGTGTGCACTTTGCGGCAGGGATTGAGAGGGCTACTGAAATATTGCAGTGGCAGACCGGAGAATAAGGTCCATTCCGGTCCAGGAACAGTGGCTGAGAGCCGATTTACAAGTATCGTTGGCATCTGGCGATTACCCAAAGGCGCATCAAGATTTGCCTCTTGTTGATGAGGATGGCAAGGCAGAGTGGAAATCGAGATGAGGGGATAACTGCTTGTTTGAGGTGACTTTAGCATTTTGGCGGAAAGTTGGCACAGGCAGGAAGAGTTTAAATCCTCTGAAAGGCATTCTATCGGAGATGTGAGTTTTCACTTTTTTTAAAGAATATTTAGAAGGAAATTAGAATTCCGGGTGTATTTCGGATGAGAAAAGAAATCAAAATCCACACTCCGTTCGCCTTCAAGTCATTATCGCCATAGCTCACTTGCCTGTGAGATGCATCCAAGCTGCATTCAGATTGCACGTGAATACGAAATATCCGTGCAAACTTGCAGTCTTGCAGCTTGTTCGGTAGGCGAAACAGTCACTTTAGTTAGAAGTTTTACCACAAACACTGAACTCAGCAGACCACAATAGTTGGACCAGCATATTAAGGCGGCTCCAGCGATCACTGATTTTAATAATTCATCCAAAAAGACAAAGGAGATCCGCACCGTTCTTTTCCCATCCCTTCACTGCATGCTGCTTACAGGAGCATGTCTTTAATTGGACAGCATATTAACCCTAGACTGAAACCGCGTCAAACTTGCGGGTCCGATTATGCATTTTTAAGCTAAATTCGCAGATCGTTAACAGCAGGAATGTTTCCTGCGCTGTGGTTTAAAACGTGGATTCATACTGGTTGTGTTACGGCCTTTCCCTGCATACAAGGGAACAAGCGTCAACTGAGATGGTGATGTAACATCATGAAGCCGCGTGAACATCCAGCGTACAGGATTAGCAATTTCTTGCATGAAGCCCGGCTCATCGAAAAAAAAAAAAACGAAAATTTGAAAATATACAGTATGCTGGAAGAGGATTACAGAATAGCCTTTGAGTTTTTGCTAAAATTGTATTTTTCAAGTCTACATGTAGCGAATTTAACATCCAAAGTTGCATTTAGATCGCACGTAAATACAGAATATCCGTGCAAGTTTGCAGTCTCACAGCTTTTTCGATAAACGAAATAGTCATTTCGCTATAAAATGCGACAATCATCAAACTAACGAAGTCAAGCTGTGGTGCTCAGGAGGAATATATAGGACTTAATGAGCCAAAACACTCCTACTCATCTGATTATTCTTATCCACCTTAATTTTCTCAGTGTGTTTTTCGTATTTTATATATGCATATGTATATATCATCAGTAAAATTTTAGTTCATTTTCTTCCCCAACTTCTCGCGCGATATCCCCTTCCCTT